TATATATATATATATATATATATATATATATATATATATATATATATATATATATACATATTCTATACATGACAAAAAGAATTATTTTTTTTATTATATATATGAGTATAAGTATATTAATATTTCTTTTTATTTTCTTCCAAAAAAAAAGTATATTCGCTGTAATTTTGAATAAGAATAAGAATATAATTTTTCCGTCATATCAGTCATATGATTTATTATTAATGATTCAGCATTTTAATATCTAGCTTTTACTTGTCTCGCAATACTTCTTGATTTACATTTAATTTACATCAGTGATGCAATTTGCAGAAAAATTACAGATTATAAAATGATAAAATACAGTATTGGCAAGTTCCTGAAGAATATGTAACAAAAAAAGGGTCTTGAGAGTTAAAGATGCGCTACTGGCCACATCAGTGCGTACGTGGGCATCCGAAACCTCGACACGCGGTTAGACATGTAAATTTTTTATTCATTTACAACAGACTATTTGCAACACTAATTGCTTTTATATTAACTTATACACTATATTATGAATTACATATGTGTATTGATCGAAATTCGTTATTGGAATTTTCCATTTTTTTGAAGTGAACTATAACTAAACTATATTATAGAAATAAGTAGTATACCTTTTGTGTGTAACAATTGTTGAGCAAATGAATGCAAGTGATTTCGATATTAAATTCCTTTTTTAATTGACAAAAAGCAAGATTGATAGATTCTTTCAAGGCGTTGTTTCGAATAAATGATGTGCCCTTGACCTACCTTAACGTATCTTAGCAACCGCGGGAGGCACGCTTAAACAATCGGTGGCAACTAAGGGCACGTAACCTCACCCACATATATTCTGCTATGACCATGAGAAATCGTATCATCGTTACACTATTTTTTGTCACAAAGAAATAGAAAAATAGAAAACATGGCGTTGTTCTTGGATCATTTCTTGAAATACATTCAGTTTTGTGATTTTTCTCTTTTATAGACGTGACTAAAAGATTTTAAATGTGAAGGTAATCCGATTGAGTAATCATTATAATTAACAATTTATATATATTTTTTTACTATAAAATAAAAAATCTCATTATCCTTGAATAAATATAATTATTTAAATTTTAGATAATTTTATTTATTAATTCAGTTATTTTTTTTTATTTGATCATCGCGTTTTTCTCAAGCAACATTGAAAATTTTCTAAGATTATTTTTACTTCAAAAATTTTTGTAGCTTAAATAGCAGTCATACAGATATTTTCTTTATTTTGCATCAATTTAAAAATTTTTTTTTCGAAATATCATTTTTTTTAAATCAAATTCAATTTGATTTATCGAAAAATTAGATTGAAGTAAAAATTAAAAAGAAATAAATAATAAATTTCATGTTTGTTAATATTAAAAATTTTTTATAATATATATGTAAATATTCAAGATATACAAACTACATAATACTTATGTATTTACGTATATATCAATCGACTAATCCAGATATTAAAACATTTTGATCCTTTCGCTTAGAAGAAATATCATACTGTGTTATAATATCCAGAAAAATATTTATTATAAAATGTATATTTGTATTTATATATTATACACATTTGAAAAGATACCATGTGGATTGTATAGATCACTACTGAAGCAAGAGTAGACCTTCGAATTTCCAAACGAGCTCGGCTTCAGACCGGATATTGGCCAACCTAGTGCTTTTTTTTTAACACACTCGATTCTACTTATACATATTTACATATATATATGTGGGTGCCAATTGCTTGATTTTGTATTTCGATGATTCAAGTTGACACAAATGTCGAAAATGGTGGTTCGATACGTTCCGAAAAGGATAGATCTTCATATTTTTAATGAATATGTTAATTATCCGAAAATTTTTTATTAAAGACAATTTAACTGTTGTTAAAATTTTTTTCAATTGTGAGAAGATACTTTTTTTTTAATCAATTGAGAGATTGAAAAATGGAAAAATGATATACATATATTTTTTTCATAGATGAGACAAGTAAAAAAAAGAATACGGCACGGTAATATTTATTTGTTTTACAAATCAACTCTTCACAAAATAAAGATATTTTAAAAAATAACTCTCATGAAGATGAATATTCTACGAATAAGAAAAGAAAAATTAAGCGAATATATTTACACTATAAAATATTATCGTTACATACATTTTCCCTTATCGATGTTTTATATCTTTTCATTTACGTAGGTATCTTTCGATCGAATGCAATTCATTTTGATAAAAACATTGTAAGAGAGTGATAATCATCTTTCGTTCGTCCTTCGTCAGACTTCGCGAATTTTTCCACATGATGATTCAGATTGGACGAGCATTGATCTAATATATTTATATGTTTATGAATCAAAAAGCCATTTTATATTTATATAATTAAACCATATCCTGATTAAAAACTGGTATTGAATCCTCGATAATTGGAATTTTGCTTGTTAACGAAAGAAAACAATCGTAATTGTCGTCACAATTTTTTTAATTTTATCAGGAACATAAAAATTATAATCGTTATAGGTAGATTGTATTGGTATGTATGTAATATAATTCTTGTATTAATAAAATATAATAGTACGATAAGTGATAAACAAATAAAACAAAGTTACAACAAGTGTGTACGTAACTTCCAAGTCACATGGCGTTATAAAGTATTAAGACTTATCGTTAGAAACAGAGAAAGAAATCTGTATTGTTTCGCTGTAACGTGTCTCATACCACGTATACTATTCATATCATATACTGTTTTTGATGTATTGAAATTTTTAAAAAACTTTTATAGAAATTCGCACGTTATGAAATATAAACGTGATAAGAGATAATAATAATAATATAAAAAATTTAAATCGAAATTTTGAAACAAAATCGACTCTTCGATCGTCCTTTTTTCTCTGTTAAACATTTTGTTTGATCAGTTCATCATCTTCTGTTTAATTTGTTCGACATTCCTTTCGACAGATTAGCATTTCTGTTTTACTCGTTATTTAAACGTATGTCACGCGACACGCGACTCTTAATGTAAATTTGGATTTCATCTTTACCAGTTAAAGTGTTAATCACGGTTAATTCCTTTTTCTGGATTTCAAGCGACGACATCGGTATTTTCTTTTTAATTTCCTCGAATATTGTCATTATAATAAATTCCGTTTACATCTGAAATCTGAAATGTTTTCAAGCCCATATTTATCACCAACGAAATTTTGAATCGAAACATTGTTCCTTTTTCGTGCCTATTATTTTCGAGGATCATAACTTTTGATCTTGACACGATTTTGAACTCTTTCACGATCTATTTTTCGCTCGACACGAGATTTCGATCCTTATCGTTCTCTAATGTTATTCTTGATTTCCGGCTATTTATTTCGAACGTACGTAATAAACACATCTTTTCGTTCTCTTATCATCAGTCCCCTTATCTGTTATCTGTTATCGTCACTTTTTCGAAAATATTTCGCGATACATATTGTTTTGTTGGCCAGAGCGCACGATTTCGTTAACGACAGTGAAAGTTAAAAGTCTTATTCCAAGAAC